CACGGTGATAGCAAAGCGTCAGGCCCCTAGCCCATCCCGGGCACGGTGATAGCAAAGCGTCAGGCCCCTAGCCCGTCCCGGGCACGGTGATAGCAAAGCGTCAGGCCCCTAGCCCATCCCGGGCACGGTGATAGCAGACCTGTAAGGACGGAGGTGAAGGGCTGCCAGGGGTCAAAGGGGCACTTTAGCCGGCCGGACTCGGCGGAGCTGACGTGCAGGTAGAATGCGTCCTCCTGCAGGGCAAGGACAAGCATCGACAGTGCAGGGAAGCATCGACAGTGCAGGGAAGCATCGACAGTGCAGGGAAGCATCGACAGTGCTACACTCTCACTCACATACAAGCCATATGTACAGGCTACAGTATTTACTGATAACTGAGTGCAATACACGCAATGTATTGATATCTTTGTGGGGACCATCCATTTAAAGGGAAAAATCCTAATCCAAACAATGACAACCTTAACCCCTACCCAGCCCTAACCTTAACCATAAGTAACCAAACAAAATACAAGGCTTTTGGCTATATAATTTTTTTTGATTGTTGTGTCACGTATGTACATGTATGTATGAAAAAGCCTTTATAATAATATGACACAGCCAAGGCGTAAAAAACACAAACAAGTCGTTTGTACCCAGAAACAGCTGCTGAAAAAGGACATAAAGTTACAGGATCTGTTCTTTCGCATAAACACTGTGAGTGTGATTCTCTATGCCCTCAAAATGAATAACAAGCTTCATTAACTGACCAGTTACTGCTCATTTACTAAAGCTGCGATTGACATACTCATTTATCCCATTTAGTTTGCGTTTCGCAGCAGAGGCAGCACAGGAGAATGCGACACTCTAGGAGAATGCGACGCTGTAGGAGAATGCGACGCTCTAGGAGAATGCGACGCTGTAGGAGAATGCGACGCTCTAGGAGAATGCGACGCTCTAGGAGAATGCGACGCTCTAGGAGAATGCGACGCTCTAGGAGAATGCGACGCTCTAGGAGAATGCTAGCATGCTGATGGAGAAGGCGCTCGCCATAATCAGGAAGGGCCCTGACGTCTAAGGGCAGACCTGCCATACCTGCTCGCGACCTCCGATCTCCAAGAAGGTGCAGAGCGGCTGGAAGGCCCCCGTGCCGCAGGTGTACACGTGCGTCGCGTTGTAGGTGTGAAGCACACGGATGAAGTTGGCACATTCCAACTGCAGGAGGAAGACAGGTAATTACAAATGGTCCCGGCAGCACCAGCTCCGGGGGCCACGTGGCGCTGCCAATTTGTGTGACTCACCTGGGCATTCCTGCCGGCGATTTTGCACAGCTCCACCCTCTCACGCGAGGCAGGCCAGCTGACCTGCAGGGGGGGCGAGACCATGGGGGAGGGTGGGATTCTGACAGCGGGGAGACTGGCAAGTGGGAGGCACGACTCTGCGATGTGAAGCGAGTTACATGGGATGAGAAATCAGGGGAACGAAAGCTGAGTACGAGTCCACGTGCCCACCTCCTGAAACCAGCGGAAAGATGGAGTAACAGGCGACCTGTTATGCCAGGAATCCGAGGCGCCTAATCACCGGCCTAAAGACTCTGGGCTGTAATGGGTGCGGTCATTTCGCGCGTGGCATGTCTAACCCAGGCTCCATATGAGCACACGCAAGCAGGGGCCCTCGTTTCTGTGGCGGCCCCTGTTGGCCAGAAACAGTCACTACACTAAATGTGTTCCTTGTTAAGGTGATGCTGAAGCAGCGTGTTATGCTAACCAGCTAGCTACCTATGGTCTTCTGACTCTACTCACTAGCTAAAATTAATGTTACGCAGCCATGGAGATTCACAGAAGCTGACCAGTTTCTGTACCACAAACACGGAAACCTCATTTTATGCAGGAGACTAGAGGCAGTGCAAACAGTGAGATGAGTGCAGTGTGGGAGCAGCCCTGAATGGCGTCATGGACCCTGCTGGGTCCCTTTTGCCTTAAAAAAAACATTTCAGTTGACTTTTGACCCTTTTTTCAAAGGACACTGTGGGTTACTTTAGATCAGCAGGAAGGCAATAACGTTACGCTAACCTAACCTAACCTAACCTAAACCTAACACTCTGAGAGTATGACATTGGAGCAGATTAACCCCATAACCTTGCCAAAGTGGTAATACCCAAACATCTAGGAAACTCACTCACACACTCTTAAAACGGTTTTTCCATTTCAGGGAGGGTCAAACAACGGGAGCCCAGCTGGATTCGGAGCAGTGGTGTTTTAAGCACTCAGCCGGCCCATTAGAGCAACACGTGCGAAGGTTCATATCCAACGATCTTTAATAAAGATCAGGTGACCAACTGCACGCTGGAGAAAGCTGAGTGGTTACTATGAGTCATGATGTTTTCTCCCCTCAGTTCCGTGCCCGGCAGCATTTGGGAGTTTGAGGGAGCTGTTTTGTTACGGATAATGGCTTGAAGCAGGGGCTTTAGGCATGAGCAGGAATTTTTCAGGTAGAACAAGAGACAGACATTAGAGAACAGGACAAAACCCCAACAAGATGGACAAACAAAAACAACCCTGGGTTTATTCCCACGCTCTTATGTAGATTAATCCTCACCATGAGGTGGCATTTCAGCATTTCTTCAGGGAGGTGAGTGTGGCAAGAGCCAGGGCATGACAGACAGGTCATATAGGCAAATGATGGTGGTCCCCGGACAAACACCCCGTTCTTGTTTCACTCTTCTGAACATCCTTACACTCTCACCGACTCTAAGCTTATTTTCTGATCCCACACCTAGCAGTCTCTCCATTATTTAAACATCACCATGTTTGTTTATTATTTAGACATCTTTATTTCTAACTTCTATTATTTTAAATTCTATAATTTTATTGTCTTTTGTACTTTTATCTTGATGTTTATTCTACACCTCATACCACCACCTGTACCAAAACAAATTCCTCTTACTTTTGCACTTGGCTAATAAAAGGATTCTGATTCTGGTTCTGGTCTTTAAGATCATGTTTCGCAGTAACCAACAGGAAGACAGAGAGTGAGCTTTCGTGTGACACAGTCCGTTTGTGCCCAAGCCATAAGCTTGCATCTATGAAGTGTCTCCATCTGCAGTGAAGAAACTCCTTCCCAGTCCGAATGGAAGTTGAAACCGAGACTGAAATCAAATAAATGACATCGAGTCTCCCAGAAGTCTGCAGCTGCACAAACTGTGTGGCAGGAGGGGACACTTTCTGAATTTTCAGGTCACCACAATTGCCAGAGAGTGACTGAGACTGGCTGCTCGCCCAGCCTCCATGAGCCAGGAGACCCGAGATGGGTCCCTGAGCCCAGCCGTCTCCCTCATGTCACCACCCGTGATGGTACAGGAGAAACGTGACACACCAATGGATGTTTCAGTTTCTCCAAAGTAATGTGTCACATGCACTACTGTGCAGTGGCATTAAAATGGCGGAAGCCTCCAGGCCATCAGCGAGCGCCCAGTGTACCTTCCTGATGTTCCTGTTCAGGTTTTCCAGCTCCAGCATGAAGATGTGGTCCCTGGCTCCCAGGAGAAGCCGGCCCCTCTCCTCATCCAGCAGCAAGCTTTGGGAGCCCATCCCCTCAGCGGAGCCCTGGAAGGCGACCCCACTGCCGGACTGCAACAGCTCTGGTGGACAGATAGGGGGCAGTATGTGGACACTTTCCCATCTGCTTAGCATCACAAAGCACAGGTGCTTAGCACAGCTCAAACCCATGCGGAGAACTGGTCAGGCACCCCAGGCGGCCAAAGACACCAGCCAGCCCTGGGTGACGTCACTCCCCCACTCAGGAACGCCCCCACCCTGACGGGAACGGCACCACCCTGACGGGAACGGCACCACCCTGACGGGAACGCCCCCACCATGACGGGAAC